TTGAAGACAGTCCTGGGAGGGTTGTTAGTGTAATAGGAGAGATGCCCCTTCTGAGTATTAAACTTCACCTATGAATAATGAAAGACTCAAACGAAATCTCAGGAGTCTTCCTGCTCGCTCCTCCTGCACTGTTCATGCGTGGGACAAATCAGTCCCCCTCTGCACTTCAGTCTCACCACTGATGAGAGAAGGTCAGTGATAACAGCCTTTCAAAACTTGTAGACTGGAAGGATTCTGGGAAATGGGGCTATGAGCAAATCTTGGGTAGACCTATATGTTGGAAGGGACAAGAGGCACTGCAGACTTCACTCAGTGGATTTGGAGTCTATCAGTCATGAAGATAAGAGCCTACCTGTTCCCATTTCACAGGCACACTAGGAGAAATACTGCTGCCCTCTCAATTCTTTGCAATAGTGACTGGAGGAGGACAGAGCCATGCCCCTGCAGATAGGTAGGGAATTCCTTTTCTTAAACAAGTTCATCCTTAGTGCTCTGATCCTTAAAACTTACAGAATTTCTAAATCTCAACATTTTATAAAGCCTTGAATCAAAATTCAGGAATTATTTTCAGTGAAGCCTCCTCAAAGTCAGGACATCTTTCACACCAAGTAGAATCTAAACAGACAAAGTGATGTGTATATAAACTGGGAAAATCCAAGACTGACTTTGCAGGAATTAGGTTCTAACAACAATTTTTCACTTCTAGGTTTGAAAACAAAAAAAGGGAATCCTTTGGGTTTATTAACCCGTAGAGCAGAGACCTCTGTTCCAATTACAAAGTATGAAAGGTAACTACAAATACCAGCATGAACTCAGCAACATCCACTTAAAATACTGCTAAGTACTGCAGACAATAGAGGATGACGCTATAAAGCTCATACTTACTCACTGGCTTTATTTTCTAGTGGGTTCAAATCCAGAGCATCAGGGCAAACAAATTTTTAACTTCTGGCTCTGAGTGCTTAATCAGTTCACATTGTCCCTACAGATCTAATGAGTCATCCTGCTAGCTATTTAGATGCACAACCCATTAGCAACCTCTTGACAAGGCAAAAGGAGGGACAAGTCTGAACAAAGTTGGGAAAGCATCTACCCACACAATCTTACCTCCTCCTTCATTAGTGGCTTTTCCTTCTCCACCCTCTGTTTTCAAGGTGAGCGTTAAGCAAGGACCACCAGGGAGAGGATTAGATATCGCTGTTAGATATGAGGCTAGGGCCTCTTGCAGGACAGTGTGTCTCCTGCACAGACACACGTGCACACAGACACTTGGGGTCTCAGCCAACTCCCAGGTCTCTCTGGCAGCTGGCTGTGGCTTTCCTGGCCCTCCCTTTAACCTCCTACTTTCCTATGCTTTTTGCTCTGCAAGTCACTCTGAACCCTCCCTTTAATTCCTCCCATAAATATCCCATAATAAGTCTTGCGTACACCCCAAATGCTCTCCCTTTACATGCATTAATAATATATCCCATACCTTTAGTAACTCCTCGGACACTCCATCTGTAAGGTGATCTGGAGAGCTGCTCCCATTGACTCATTGCATAGATATCACCTTGGGACCACCAGGATGATGGCTCTCCTGGGACAGGGGATGATTTGGGATTCCCCCCCCTGCCATTGTACCCCCTCATGTGTGTGGTGATGAGATTTTTATTACATAGCCTACCACTAAGTGGTATCAACCTCAGAACAAGAGTCAGGCCCTCCATCCACGCCAGGCGTGCATGTTTTGTTGGGTGCTCCTGGTGTCCAGCCACAGCCTGTACAGAAGGGAAATGACTGTGGATTCACAAACTCTTCTTGGTACTATGTACACTGGTCAACACCACTGCATGAGCACACAGGCTATATCAGTTTTGTTGACATCGCAAATTTCCTCAGTGTATAATCATGTTGAAGCTTCTCTCTCTCTTTCTCTCCCTCTCACAGAAGGATTTGGCCAAAAAAGATTCTATGAATTCCAGTGAACTGTGGTACTCAACTGTCAACCACGACGTAAAACATGAAGCCTCTGTGATTAACATCAATAATCAGACAGAATATGCACTTGTCAATGTGTCCAAGGGGAAGGATGATATTACCAGAGCTGAAGAGCACAGTGAATATGATTATGTTCTGATAACTTAGAAAGGGACACTTTCTGCTCCCAAGGCACTCTTTTACATGATTGTTTAAGCCAGCAGTGTGCAGCCATGCTAACCATCCTACCTCTGCTGTCAGGTCTTCAAACACACATCTCTCTTGTGTTACTGAGCTTACTCATTAGGACATATCTGCCAGTCATTTCCAATGAGACAAATCTGTCCATGAGAAGGTGACCACAGAAAGAGACATGGACAGGGGACAGGACTTGACAATTAAACCCAGAGGAATCAGTAGCAAATGTCATTGTAAGGCAATGTTTCTCTATAGAAAATAAAGATGCTTCATTACTAGAAGCAACTGAGGCTGCACATTTTATGGACTTCTACAGTACTTTCTTTTAAAAAAACCCCAACCCTACTGCTAAAAATCTCAAAAATGCAATAATAAATCTCCTTGTTGTTGGGTTATTTGTTTATCAGAAGAGAGGGCTGGTGGTTTGTTTTTTTAATTAAAGCATAGACCCTGTGTTAGGTGCACTTACTCTTTTCCGAAGTTTCTCTGGCCTGCTTGATATATACCATTATACAACGTACAATTTCAACAAGTAGCTCATTGCTCAAATTGTCCCCCTTAATGTAAACTACTTATCTTAGAGTGAATTCTTAAGGAAGTTGGAATGAAGTAAAAAAACAAAACAAAACAAAACAAACTGCACACAAAACAAAAATTCCAGCCACTAAGAAGACCATGAAACCCGAGGCTGCACAGGCAGTAACTACACACCACTCAGTAGAAGATCCCTAGGTGTTCCCTCCATGACACAACCCTTCCAGCTCACTCCTGTTGGAGTCCCAGGTTTGGCTCTCTGCAATGCCAGGACATAAGCACCTCATCACCCATGACCCCTCTGCAAGCAGCAGTTCCAGGCATGTGCATTGGACTGAAATCAGTTATTGACTTGTTCACCAGAGCTCGCAAAGTGATTGTGTGTCTGTGTTCTTGCTCAAGCTTGGTTTTTTGCTCCCTCCATTTCTGTATTAAAACAATTTGGAAGAAAATGTTGAACAGTTTTCCTGATTTTAAATCTTCCTTCGTATGTGATTGCTGGCTGCAGCCCTGGCTTTACGGTGTAGCCATAAAAACCCCCCCCACTTTTTGTAATTTTTTTGACATTTACTTCAATGAGAGTTCAAAGCTTGACCAGAGGTAGACTGTAAAGTCAGATATTTTCTGTGGAATATCACAACATCTTGCTACAACTCCACCTCCTTCCTTCCTGTGAATTGCTGGGGTAAAGGTACTGGGACAGAGGAGGGTGGCTGGAAAAAAAAATGCTTGGCTCCTCCTTTTTCTGCCAACTCTTAATGCACACAGAAGTATCACCATGAAGAAGCATAATAGTTATATTATTTTTCAGTTCTTAGAAACAGAATCAAGATAAAAAAGTGTTCAAAGGCAAGTTCAGTCATCTTAGTAAGAAAAATAAGATCAAGCAGCATCTCAAAGGCAAATTATTTCTTTGCTGCTGGTATTTTCATAGCCTGCTGCTTTTAGGACAAGCCATACAAACCATAAATTTTATTCTTCCCTAATGTAAGAATCAGAAGGAATATCTCTTCTAGTTGTATGCTGCATAGAATATTGCATCAAGAGAAAGTATGATTCTTACAGCCAACACTACCTCTTACACATCATGATGGGGTCAGAATTAGCCACAAATATGAGAGCCACGTGAACTACTAATTTGGTCCAGACTGTTTCCCAGGCTCAGTTAAGACTCAAGCAACAACAAACACAGGTTTGAGTGTACAGCTCTGTCAGTCAGATGCTCATACACCTCTCAGTATTTAGAATTCCAATGGTTATTTTCCAACTCAAACAGTTGAAAGACTAGAGCTGCTGAAGAATGAAAACAATCATGTCAAGAGTAAAAATAAATAATTTAATGCATGGTAAAATTTTCAGATTACTTCTTAAATAAACTAGTAACAGTAGAAAAAGATAAACACATTTTGCTATAAGATATTTCTCACAGTATAAAAGGTTTCTTAAAATAAATTTGTCTATCCAACAGTACTAACATTTATACTGGCTAGAAACAAATGTCAAGAATCTATACTTCACTGACATGGTAGTGAATCCATTCCACGTAAAGTTAATGCTTAGTTTTTAATGTTCATGCTGTAGCCAGTTACTGGCTATAATTCTCGTGCCATGCTTGCCCATATGGTCTGCTTCAGCACCTTCCTCTTGGCATTGATCAATCTTATCTGATCTCTTGTGAACAAGAACAACTATTTGCTGCCTTATTAAGGCAAATATCTAGACTAGTTTATCTTTGAATTTACAAACATGGGTCAAATAACCATCTCTGTACTAGTGCCAGCAGGTAATTATGAAAGCACACTGCTAATTTGATGCTTGAAAGATTCCTGTGGCATTCAGATCTATCAGTGAACAAGATATGTTTCTTCCCAAAGTTTCTTCATTTCTATTTCTAATTAGAGAAGAGAAAGATAGAGAAGATACCACCTCATCCTGGAAGACTGTAGGATGAACAAGGCAATGATGACAGTTGAAGCTCTTTTAAGAGGCTAGTGCAAAAGTCTTGCATGTAATTAAAGGAAATAGAGAGGATATTTAATTTTCAGGCTGTTTCTTTGAGGAAAGAACAGGGAAATATGGCACGTGAAGTTAACAGGGAAAAATGTAACAGACATGAATACAGGTAGAAGTGAGCATTAAGGATGAAGTTTTGCAGATAATTTTGGATAAGACAAGACAAAAGGAGCCACGTGCAAGACTTTTTAAAGCTTGTGCAGGGAATCTAGATTTAACCATAAAGCAAGACAAAACAGAGGTTTCAAAGTCAAGAGAACATGCATCAGATATGACTTTCACAAGAGTGCAATGGGTTATTGTGATATCAGGACGACAACAAAGAAGGAGGTAGTGGTGTTATAGGAGTTCAACACTGCTACAAATATACCACATTTTCCATTTACAATATTACATAACAGACAGTATTTACAGGACAACTTTAGAAGTGTTTCTACCTAATGAATAGTTCCCAACCCTGGGATTACTGATAGATAGGAGAAACCCATCTCTTCTAGGCGGTGAAGAACATGAGGAGTCTTTCCATCATTTCTCTGAAAGTTAAAACAATACATTAACAACATTAAAATGAAACTTCAGTTAGTTATTTCAGCATGTTTTTTCCTGTCCCTTTTACACAACATACAGAGGACAAAATTATATTGAGAATTGGAACTCATGACTTGTTGCTCTCTTGTCCCTTGATAAGAGTACCAAAAAAATCAATATGAGTTAATAACAAATCTTACTTATATACACTGTGTGGTGACGTGTTAGCCTAGAATTATTCTGAAAGCACACAGGTATAGCTCAGTAAGTTGAGGGTGGGGAGAAACAGCTCTATGAACAGTATTCACTAAAACTGAAAAGATTATGGAACTTTTATACTGTCATTTAAATGAAGACAAATCTAAATGCATTGGAATTACTACATAGAAAATCTGGAAAAATGAAAATTTGGTTCCTTTAAAGGATACCTCTATGCACAATAAATTTGCCCAAAAACTTGGGAGGACAGGGGAAATCAGAAGACTTTTTCACCCTTTACTGTGAAAAAAAATCAGAAGTTCAGTCCCAAGTTACTTACGTAATGTTTCAAATATGAATATACAATACATTTTAAATTATTTAGCTCCCCATTATAGTGCACCCACGTATGACAATATTTTCTTTGTATGAGTAAAATGCATGAGATCTGAAAAGTTTGGTTGGAATCTGCAGCTAAACAGTCTCATCACTACTCCCTTTCTCATCAGAGGACCAAACAATGAATCCTGGGTTATAAGGTAAACACAGCAAGACTTTCCTGAAAACTGAATATTTTACCATTTTCTCAATACTATTGTGCAAAATACATTTACTAAGAAATCTCAACATCTTTCCAGAAATATTTCTCTCTTTTCAAATAAATAGTCCAGCTCTTTGTAAAGAAACAGTATCTCTTACATACAGCACTTACATGTTAATGTGAGAGAAGTCGGATCAAGCTTTAACCTGTCACATTCAGGTGTCCCAGGATTAAAAGTATCATCTTCATCATAAATATTTTGACGTAAAACATTCCTTATAAAATCTGGGTTCATTGTGTTTTCCATAAACCCCTCTGTTGATGGTGGTACAGAAAACTCTAGCTGATAAAATACAGTGGAGCTTTCATTACTGGAAAACAAAGTCAAGTATGAATGCCTTCAAGTTCCCACTGGATCTTTTTTGATCAGACTGACTTCATATCAACCTTGGTATGTTTTGGTTGTTTTTTGTTTGGTTGGTTGTTTAAAAACAAAAACAAACCAAACCCAAACTTGTTCTAAAGAAAAACATTACAAAATAAAAATACCAAAGATTCCAATTTTCCTCCTCCCCCTCCCTTCTCAGAAGAGCTATTGACATTGACAGAAACTGAGCACATACCTGAAGCCAATCTGAGACATGTTTTCAAATGCACAAAGGGCAGTTGCACCTGTGTTCTAACAGGGTGAGGTTTTCAGCACTCATGCTTCACAAGTACATAGCGATAAGAGGTGCTGCAATATCTCACATACTTTAGCTGAGAACCTGCAGAAAGATTTGCTCTGCTGCTAGCAGTACCTGAAGCCACCTAACTCGGCTCTGGAGTGGATTATGCAAACCACTGAAATAGAGTCCATCTGTGGAGATTTCACTGTTTATAATCTACCAAATCCACTGTATTTACATAGGCACGTGAACGTCTCATGAAAAGCCTGGAATTTTCAAATAATTTTGGTGACAGAAATTGCTTACCTGAAATAAACCACCTGAGCTGACCTAAAGTAGCGTCCTAGAGCTGGAGATGAACTGTAGACATCTGTTAACTTGAATAGAAAAAAAGAAAAAAAAAAAGAAAAAAAGAAAAAAAAAGCTTCTATTCACTCTTTTCCCCATAAAAGAAAGTGCAGCAACTCGTTCTTATAAGGTGTTTTAAGGAACATAAACACAGGTTCTGAAGGTCAAATATCTGCCCTGGAAAAGGTACACAATCTCCCTTTAAGTTTGACAGACAAGTTAATCTGTGTTTGAGTGATTACTATATTACCTTAACACAATGGAGGCATTCAGGGTGAACTAAAAGTACGTGCTCATGTTGCCACGTCTAATTTATATTGTTTGGCTTAGGTTCTTATTAGTGCCAAAAAGCCCTTTTACTCTTACTTTGTAGAGGGAAGGGTCTTTCTACTGAGACTGTCTTTCCACAAGAAGTCTAAATCCGTGCTGCTGTGTCTGCTGAGCTTATTTCAGCCATAACTCAGAGCTGTGATGGAAATGGCAGCTATGAACCCAGGCTGTCATCATTTACTTACAGGAGAATGCAACACACAGGATTTTTAGCCAGCATTTGGTTTAGAAGACCTTCATGACCCCCTCCTAACCTAAACTATTCATTGATTCTATGAAAAGGTAAAGACTATATCCCAGCCATTACTTAAATTTGGGGAAAAAAAATCAGGCACTTTAAAAAAAAAAAAAAACAAAAACAACATCAATGTAAAGCACTTCTGTGCTTCTAGATCAGGACTTAAAATTATACTAGGAAAAATACAACTCAGAATTTTTTGTGGACTTGCAAATGACTGTGTTTCCACATAGAAAAACAGAAACTTCTTGAAAGGGAAAACACTGAATCAACATTACAAGCAGAATCAGCTTTGCCAAGAACCACATCAACACATACCCTCTTAGTAATGTCTTCAGAGAAAAGGTGTGGGAGACCACACATTAACTCCAATGTTCCTGAAAAATTGCAACAATTTCCACTATTTCGTAGTGTATCAGGATCCCAATAGTCATCCTCATCTGTGTAAACATCTAATATTCAAAAGGAGATAGAAAGGGGAAGAAAAAGTTTCAGTTAGCAGAAGTGTTGAAAAAAAAAAAAAAAAACAAAACCAAAACAAAACCAACAACCCTCTTGGCTTTCTCCAGGGTGGCTTTCTCACAAATTTTCTAGGTAATGACTGACTGGGAGTGACAGAAAGAAAGGGCAAGTCACCTGAAGAAAAGCAACAGCCCATGGAGGTCAATCACCCACTTCCATTAACAAAAGTCAGCAGCTTTGGGAGCCTGAGAGGCACTGACACCACGCAAGGGAACATAAGTGATCCATTGCACTTGGTGCAATGCCACAAGCTTCATCTCCATCCTCATCCTCAACTCTATTCTCGTAACATTTTCTCACTTAGCTACAAACTGGAATTGCCATCTGATCAGGATACAAGTTATTTGCTGCCTGCTAAAATAAAAGCGTTCACATCCACAACTCAACACACCAACTGCTGCAGCCAACACCCCGGTCCCTGCAGCAGTTTACAGAAAGAGTTTAAAGGATGCTACTGTTCAATTTGTGTTGTATTAGATTGGACATATTGCACATTTTTATTAGAGGATGAACCAAGAGCGAGATACTTACTGGAATAAAGAATTAGGCTGATGAGAATGACCAGGAAGAATACTAGAAAAATTGTAGTTATAACCATCCATAGTTTACACTTCCAGAAAACTACATTCCCACATGATTTCCAGGGATTTCTCTCCTAGTTACAAAAGGAAGGGGCATGTTGATTAATGAAATAATGTGGAAAAAAAAAGAGAGATATTTAAGCATGGCTCTACTGTAACATTTAGAAACAAAATCCTCACATAGATGGGAGAGTCTCATTGGTAAGCAATGTCCTACAGCAGGGTTCCCACCCTTAAGTACTGCTGCAGGTGGGAACACGGACCTGCAGAAAGCAAAGGACATTCACAGACAGGCTGTTACTTGAGAGACACATATCATTTTGTTTGTGCAGAATTCACAGATCCTGAATTGTCCATAAAGCTAAGGTGCTACAAAGGTGCTTTCATGGCTTCTATTTTTTAAAAAAAAACTACATAGATTTGATTAGCATGTTCCACAAGCTGTCCTTTCAATGTTTACCACCTCTCTCAACCAAAAAAGATATCTGTGGAGGAATTTCCAATATCATTCACCTCTGCAATGTTAATTATGTCAGTCTGCATAGCTCCTGGATTACAGCACTCAAGGCATGTGGACTGTTATTAATTAGATACTATTACATTAAAGAACACTGTAAAATAATTGAGATTTTACAACTGACTTTTTTCTTCAGGGGATTGGAAATTTGAAGGCTATTGAGTACATTTAAAGTTAATTACAAATCTCTTCTGTTCTAGGAGATCACAAGGAAACTCTTGTCAAAGAAATTGTGCACATGTGCACATTTATATAGGAGAGAAATGAGAGAAAGGAAAATATCTGTCTTTAATTTAATTTTTAGTAATATTTAAGACCATGGCAGAAGTTAGTGTTTTATTAGTTACTCCAGCAGTACTAATATTAAAAAAAAGCTTCAGTGATATAGCAAAACAAATTTTAAAACTTCAAGTATTTTGTTCCACAGCCAGAAGACTGAAGGAAGAGCATGAATTCATAAGAAAGTAGACCATGCTGCCTTTTTAATTCCTCCTTGTCCTACTCCACATCCACTGTAAACCCAGATGTAAACTCCACGTCCTTTTTGACATCAGTACCAGGTGAGGACAAGCACATGCTGCAGGTTGTCCAGAACACACACATGCAGATTGTCAGGAACTAGCTGCTGGCTGGAGGCACTAACCCACCTTAACCTCCCTTCACTTTTTGAACTTTCTAAGGACCCAGAATAATAGAAAGCCTTTCACTAAATTTAACTGACATTCACCAGCTGGCTTAAAGCTTCTTTGAGGGTGGCAGATGAACAGAGGGAGAAAACAGGCACCCACATAAGAGTCATTTCTCCAGGAATGGGGACAAAAACAGGGAAAGTGCTCTCTGCAGACCCCCCCACACAGAACTTTGGTGGAGATCAAAGGGCAGAGGCTGAACATGGCTTTACTTACAGCACACTTTCAGGAGCAATCCTGTTTACATATATACTTTTGTTTTTTAGATTGTATTAGAACAATGAAACTTCAATCTAATACTTGACAGTAGCATATCTTTTCTATCTGACAAAAGAAAAAGCACCAGTAACTACTGCTTGGAGTATAACTATGAAATCAGACATAGTTGTATCTGTTGAGGTAGTTACTAAGCCCAAGTTTCGACTGAGTCACATATTTAGACCATAACAAAAGTGTAATTCGTAATTGCCTGTAGCAGACTGGCTTGATCTCAAGCAAACATTCAGCTCCCCAACTATCCAGCTGGGCCAACACCCTCTGGACATTGCCCTTGTACATTGCAAGAGTGCCAGGAGGGAGCAGCAGCAGAGAAAATCTCCCTGGTAGGCAGGACAGTTCTTCTGATTCATCTACCACATCATCAGGAAGCAGAGCATGATAATTTTCCAGCAGTCCCTATAGAATAGGAAGTCAATTATCAGAATCAGAAAAAATAGAGCCCAAATGAAAACTCAGTTCTGGGAAAGGGAAGGCAAAACAAAAACTTAAGGGTAAAGTTTCTCAAGACAGCTAAGCGGATCTAGCTCACCCCTGCCTCTCCTCCACCCTCTCCTGTTCCTCTTTGCACCTCCCTAGAATTTGTTTGACCCTGCAGCAAGCTGTCTCAGCTTACCAGACCAGAGGAGAAGTAACTGGCCCCAGATATAGTAGAGTAAATGTTTTTTTTTTTTTCTGCCTAGCCCATGGAATGAATCAGCCCACAGAGATGTTCAGCGGGGCTCACACAAGGAAGCGGTGGCCGCTGCTTGGCCAGGAGCAGGAAGGGAGGAGTGACATGACTAAAACAGAGGAGCTCTGGGGAGGACTCAGCCATCCCCTACTGAAAAATGGGAAACTTCTTAGCTCTGCCACAGATATTCCCTCTGCTCCTGAGTAAGTAATGAAAATCACTATACAGCAATCACCTGTGAGTACATATTACCCCTCTGCCAACATCAGTCTGTTCCACAGCTGTAAGCTAAGCCCTGGGAGCTAACTCCCTCAGGACTCACATGCTGGTCTTAACTGAGGCTTTGGGGCACTCTGTTTATACAAATTCATAATTGTTAGCCACTGCAAATTACTTGAAGGTAAAAAGAGAGAGAATCCAGAATGATCTGTTGCAGAACACTCTAGTCTTGTTTTGGCAGCACTGTTTTCTGATTAATTTGTTCTGAAAGAAAGCCTGGTTTTAATATGGATTTCATTTTTTCTCCTTTCTGGTTTTGAGCCCAATCCCACTGAGAGCACGTGAAAAGAGAAAGCAAAACTCAGATTACCAATTACAACTTAATTTCCTAAATTAAATTCACAAACAACCAAGCACTGAAAAATAAAAAAAGCTTAAATCCCCACTCCAATATTAGAATACTTCATTAAGAAGAAAAAGAAAATACATACATTTAGCTGGTTTTCAGCCTTTACTTCCAAGTGAATAACCTTTCCCTCTGCTTCAAATAACAAATTAAACTACCTTTACAAGATGTTCCTCTGAAGTGTCATTTTTTTTGCCATATGATATTTTCCCCAACCAACAGCAAGCATCAAAAGGAATTCCTACCTTTCGTGTTTGAGCATTCAGAGGTTTGTCATGATCAATCCCATTTTCTTCCACATTATCTTCTTGTAATTCAATAACCTCCTGCTCTTGACCATTTAGAGGCTTGTCATGATCAATCCCATTTTCTTCCACATTATCTTCTTGTAATTCAATAACCTCCTGCTCTTGACCATTTAGAGGCTTGTCATGATCAATCCCATTTTCTTCCACATTATCTTCTTGTAATTCAATAACCTCCTGCTCTTGACCAGAGCTTTGCCTGTTCATAGCTTCTGTCTCTGCGTGAGGATCTCTGTCTCTGAAGCAAGCACGGAGACAACTCATTTCCTTCTGTTTTCAGCAGCAGTTATGGTCAGTAGCAGCTCTGGTATGAGGCTGGAGACAGTAACAGTGAGAGCTGGGATAGTTTTCACAGGAGTGATCTCAAAACATTGATAAATAAGAGGAATTCCTTAAAAGGACAAATAACATCATCTACGTTCTACCAGCTACAGAGAAACTGGAAGTATTGATTTGCCAGACCTATAGCCCTCGGCTATGCAATACTAGGTTTTCCAGTTTGTCTACCTTACCATACCAGCCCTTGACAAGCACAAGCAGGTGACTAAACCTTCAGCAACGTTGTCATGTGCTGAGGCAATTTGGAAAGGAATCTTATTGCTTTCTCCACTGCTGTGAGCCAAACCTGTAAGTACTATTGCTGTTATCCAGGCAGATAAACAACCAGATGTGGTTCTGAAGAGCATAAACTGAGTACAGGATCACATACCTCGTGGTTCGGTGAGGCTGTGAAGGGAACTTAAAACATCTACCAACACTTCTAATTTTAGTCTCCCTATATAGTCAATAAAGAAATTAACACTCCTGACTTTTGTGCCATGAATTGTCCTCTCTCTAGCTGTTTTGTAGCCTAAAAATCACATTTGGTGTTAAATAACCATTTATGTCTATTCACACACTATCCAACCTAAACCTGAGAAGCCACTTTCATGTAAAAAACCAAAAGGACAAATCTGAAGGGAGGGGGAAGGTGGCCTTCAATTTCACCCTGTGCTTTACAGGACATGATTTTATGAAGCAAATCGTTGTACGAGTTGAGATCTGGTCTGCACTAGCTTCCCACATGAACTCCCCCATGCTACTTAGAGTCACTCATAACAGCTTACTGCAGCCAGGGGTTGATTCCTCCCCCCTACTCCCCCAGCATCCTTCATCCTACCTCCTCTCATTTTTCCTTCTCTGACTCCATCCTCGTGTTTCTCCTTCCTCCTCACAGAGCACCTCTCTCCCCTCTCAATTGAAAGGGTTGGGCAAGCAGCTGGTAACAGCACTCTTGCTCACTCTCTTGTCCCAGCACAGAGAGGACCGCGCATTAAGAGGAAAACAAAGCCTCTTTCTCCAGCTCCCTCCCTTGCTGGCTGACCATCCACTCACAGCACTGCTCCTTCTTTTTTCTGCCAAATCCTGAGGATGCTTTTCCTCCCCCCAGCTTTTCCCATTGTGCAATTCATCTGGCTATGGATGCCTGGAGCGTTCCCAGGGGTTCAGATGCCTGATGTCATGTCACAGCCATCCAGGCAAAGGCGCTCCATTAAGCTGAGCACATGACTTGGTTTCATTCAGCAAATAAAAAA